TAACTGGTTTACTAAAGACAGTCTGATTGCCCTGTTTCATGGTCTGATGGAATGGGTTGGGGGGGGGGGGTCTCGATTTACTGCCACTTGTTAAATAAATTCAGAGCTTGGTCAACAGGTGACAGCGTTGTGCTGTCAAATTCTAGCTGATTACACTGCCTTGTCTAACTGGGACAATTAAATCATCTGATCTATCAGCGGGGTAATAAAATCCAGGCCCATGTCCGTCTCTGAGGGAAGGATTAGCCAAGGTCTGGAAAAAAGTCAAAGAACTAGTTTGACAGTTTCAATATAATTTACTGCTGTGTTTAGGTAAGTTGATTGTTTACTTGCTTTCACCCTATGCAAATTTTTATCCATTTCTTATGTTGTTGTTGTTATTATTATTTATTATTATTATTATTATTATTACTATTTATTTCACTTTGCTATCCATTTTATTTTATTTATTTGTTTGTTTGCTTCCTTCATTGGCCCATCTCGCCTCAATGATAAGCAGCCCTCGGGCTTCCTTACGGATGCGGCACTGGGTGTTGCCGGACTTGAACCCTCGACACATGGGCCTCCCTCAGCTCTGTGGCCCTGGGGCTCCTCATCATGCCTCCTGTCTTGTTGGCAGACCGCGAGGATGAAGACCAGAAGGTGAAGACGCAGAGGCCGAGGTCAGCAGACCAGCCCGGCATCTTCCAGGCCCAGACAGGTGAGCCCCTGCTCCTAATTCCGGCGCCCTCCCCCAGGAGAAACATAGATCTGCAACTGTCTGAACAGGGTCTCCAACTATAGCTAAACATGTTTTTTTTTTAGACAGTATATTTATTTATTCACTATGTCTATGCCGAATGTACAAATTAGTTTTCCTCGGTGCTGCCCTGAGGTCTTTGGTGCTGCCCCGAAGTCTTTGATGCTGCCCCAAGGTCTTTGATGCTTTGCACGCAATGTGTGCAGAATCCAGAATTGAATTCGGAAGTTTATGCATTGCAACACATCAAGGGGGTCCAATTATGCTAAAGAAATTCAGGTTAAACTGGATGGTGGACCTTGACGTCCGTGGAGTGGGGGTGGGTGGGTATATTTGATCACGTAATTAAACGGCCCAGCAAGGACAATTTTTGAGGATGAATAGGCCGTCTCTGAAAGCTTCTCGAACCACTTACGGTCTGATTAAATCTCCAACTCCAAAAATAAATGGGCAAAAACATTACCCCCCCTGCCCCACGCTTGCTCATTTAATAAATTTGGCCTTTGACTTTAATTGAGTTGACGATTATGAATCCTGGGGGGTAAGGGGGTGTGTTAGATTGCATTCCTGGCTGTCGAATGCTTACAGTAGCCACATAAAGGCCAGTAAAGGCTCTCTTTGAAAGCACTAATGGACACAGCCCCAGTACACGTCCAAAAGTATGTGGCCACCAGCTTGACCAACATCTCATTCTGAAACTAAGGGTATTAATATGCAGTTGGCTGGCCTATTGCTGCTATAATGGCCTCTATTCGTCTTGGACGGTTGTCTATCAGATGTTGGAACATTGCTGGTGGGACTCGCTGCCATTCAGGTTGGATATTGATGTTGGGTGATCAGGTCCCTGTCTGTGAGCCCGTGTGACCAACTTCTCAGCAGAACCTGCTCCCAGACGTTCTCACCTTCACAGTCATTGCGGTTGACAAAGGCAGCTCCAGCAGGACAGGAATGTGGTGAACGGACTTGTTGGAAAGACGGCATCCTCTGATGGTGCCAAGTGGAAAGTCTCCTCTCCTGTACGAACGCCGTGACTGTGAGCTGAATTATCACCTGTGTCAGCAATGGGTGTGGATTAATTAGGCAGTTCCTCTAATTAATAGCAGTTTCCACATACTTTTGGACATACAGGGTATGAGTCAGCAGGTAGCGTTTAGGTAAAGCCTTGGAGATCCACGAAGCCGCATTATTGGGACGCCCTTGGACTGAACGCCGGGCCTGAACTGATTCGCTAAATAATGTAGCTATAGGGAGGGGTGCAGTTTATGGCCCAGACAGTACCTTGCTGAGAAAGGCCTTTTTGTTAAATATTAAAATCCTGTTTGAATATTGATGCAGGTTACAGGCCCAATATCACTGAGCCCTTCTGTTCACACATTATAATCGGTGAAATAAAATGATTTACCGTCGTATGTATTTACCTGCTAGTTGCCAGAAAGGCATGAATAAATGAGTCAAAGTAAATGTGGTACCGTTACTTTTGTGACTCTCATGTTATACATCAGCCACGCTGTTACTTTGTATGCAAGAGTAACCAGTATGCAACTGTGAAACCAGTTTATGTCAGACCCGCCTCCTTATCTATACAGTTATTCTCCTTTTAGCACAGTTATAGTCAGGGTGTAACGTCAGGTCATCCTTGGGCTGCTCTACATGTTGACTTGGAATGATAGAGGACTACTGAACACCGACAGTTTCCAGAACACTAGCATCTCGTTCGGACTGTAGCCTGTACCCCTTATGCTGCTGTGATGGGTGTAGACAGACGGATGGATGGATGGATGGATTCCACCATATAGATGTGCTGTGTCCACACCACCGTCGCCCCCATCAGGCCTTTCCTTTCGGCGCCGTGAGCCCCCTGACTGGCCTCTCTCTGTCCCCCGGCGCCCCCTGGTGGCGGTGCAGGCGACCCAGCGGCGGAGTCCTGGTCTCTGTGGAGCGTGTGCTCGCTGACATGCGGTCAGGGCTGGCAGGTGCGCTCACGGTCCTGCGTCTCGTCGCCGTACGGCACGCTCTGCAGCGGGCCGCTGAGAGAGACCCGCCTTTGCAACAACAGCGCCACCTGCCCAGGTGAACCGCCACGGCAGGCAGGTACGGAAACGCCAGGAATCGGCCGTACATTCACACGCACGCATGCCTGCACACTGCACCCGTCCAGAGGTATAGGCACGTGAACGTACAGTTCATATAGCATATACACAAGCATAGAGACACACCCACACACACCCATGCACATCATGCACAATCATACATATGCACCATACAACACAGAAATACAGTCACTGGTATATGTGCCTAGACGTTCACATATATAGGCCATCACTGGCATATGTACCCACACACTATATACTGAAAAACACATACAAATAAGTATATTCAGTGAATTACATACATATCATATACTGTACACTAATATACACACTGGCATATATAGTCATGCAATATATACCAGCAAACACATACACAGGTATTCACAGTGCTGTTCAACTGTGAAAGAAAATATTTAAGCTGTTTTTAAAGTGTATATAAGCTCATATGTGCAAATTAACAGTAATGCACCGAGAACGTGTTTTTTTCTGTTTTGACAAGGCTAAGCTAACGCACTTTGACAGATATAAAATTATAGTTTTACACCAGCATAAAGAGCCTATGACTGGCACAGTGCTGTGCAGTGTATTACGCACACAGGCACTACACACACATACCAAAGTACACAAGTTTGTACACGAGTGTGAAACACACGTAGGTGAGCAGCCGGGGGATGAAGCAGCAGCTCATCGGAACAGCGGAAGGTTTAGCATGACTCAGCGATTATATAATGCATGCAAATACACTGTGTTGTTTCAGCTCACTGTTTGATGACTTGTGACCGCAGTCAGCTGGGAATCCGATTCTTTCCAGAACCACGCTGGTAACCTTTAGAAGGGTTTGCTAAGAGGATTACAGCTGCTTTCCGAATGACCCTACAGTTTTAATTTACAATCGGCGTATAAACTCATTATGTGTCATGGATTGTCTGTGGGATCCAGGTGGATCTGCAAATGCTTGATAAATCTCACAGCATTATCTTGAATTTTTAATTTATTTTTCTTTTGACTAAGAAGCCGCTAGTACATTTGGTGTTGAGTGGTCGACCGTTCCCTACGTGATGTAATAACTGTAGCATGGAGGCTCCTGACAGATGATTGGTAGACTGTTGTTATGACAGAGTGAGCAGAGCATTCTGGGTCGTTATCCAGGTGTGACCTCTTTTTCTGTGTAGTACCTAATGTGTGGCATTTCGGCCCAGCGACAGGTGCTGCAGTCAGCCAAATCTGCAGCCGTCCTGCAATCACCCAACAGAAAACAGTGTTTGTTTTCCTTTTTTTTTTTTTTTTTTTGCAACATCTGACATTTATGGACATTTTAATGAGATGACAGCTCCTCTGATGTCTTCATTGTAACTCAGTATAATATGCAGCTCTTATTTTTATGCAAATCTGTCATTCAGTTTGCCCGTGTTTGAGTCTCATTTCCTGTTCAGTAGGATGTCATTTTTTGGCCAGTTCCATTGATGAGATATTTCAGTGGTGTGTTTGTTTTTTTCCCATAATTATTATTATTATTATTATTATTATTATTATTATTATTATTATTATATTATCTCCTCCCAGGAGTGCAGAGGTCCTGGGGCACGAGGAGGTGGTCGGTTTGTCTGATGATGGGAAAATCAGAGCAGACAGTCCCAGTGGGTTTATTATAGAGTCATTGGCGCATTTACTGCACTGAAGTCCACCAGCTTTAATAACCTCTTTTCTCGTCTGGACACCAGCCCGTTCTGTTGGGTGCTGGGGAGGGAGGCCCCGTGACAGTGGGAGGCGGAGCTATATTACTATGGCCACCTGGGATGGCTTCGGTCTAGTGGCTACGCGATTAGCGTCTGAGCCCTCGATATGGGTCCCGGCTTCGCTGGACAGCAGCTGTGTTCCGCTTGGTTACGCCCCGAGACCTGTAACCCACTTGCTGTACACATTGTGGCACCAGCTTGTGAGAACACGACTCAATCCGGCGCCATATCCTTGGCCTACGACCTTCAGATGGCCCCTTAACCTAGGTCACTTCCAGTGGTCTGCACTAGCGTGTGCGTGTGCGAGAGAGTGCACACACTTTCTGTCTTTCTCTCTAGTACATTCATGTAGATTCACTTATTTATTTCATAGACGCTTTTGTCCAAAGAGACATACAGTTGAGGCAGGTCTTGCATCACAAGCATGCAGCTGTCAAGAAGCCTATTTAGGCTGATCTTCCAGACAGTAACAAATGCAAGTTAGCATTGGAGCAAGGGCTGTACTAAGCATGGTTACATCGGAAAAGCTAATCACAATCAAAAATAGCATGAGGACTATGCTCCAACTATAGGGGATAAGGGGAAAGGTCATCCAGTGTTGCCAAGAGGCCCATAACCAAGGAACGGCTAATGAAGACTGAGCAGTTATGATGTAATGATGATGTCATTGGTTGGGCGACATCGCTGAGGTGTTCACAATGAGATGGATCTTGAGTCATTTCTTGAAGGTTACGAGTAGCTGGCTGGCTGCAGATGGGTAGCTTGTTCCACTGTCAATGGACCTCACATGGAAACAGGGGGGTGTACAGAGGTGGGGCCACAGGGGCACTGACCCTACCTAAAAGCTGATTGGCTGCTGGACTGCCCCCTCTCCTGTCACTCACCAACTAAAAACATATCATTGGCTAATAAGAGTGGTCCATCAGTATGTATCATGGCCCCTCTTATGCCCCCCCACATGGAAAATGATGTGGTGGAGAAATCACGGGGCATGCTGACCATGGAGGGCATGTGTAGGAACAAACAGAAGACGGACACCCACACAGCAGTGCATCCCACTCAGAGTATCCCCTGCTGGGCCCGACGCCTCCTGGGATAGACCCCAGGACCACCTGGGTACTTATAAATGCCGGTTGCCAGAACGCATTACGGCGAGGTCTTAAATTAAACAAGGAGCCCTCCTGCAGGTACACGGACGCTGCAGCTCGCGAGCTCACCTGTCACGGCAGCGCAGCTAATTTGCATTAGACAATTACAGCAAGGCGTGTTTTCACATGGGTGGACTGTTACTCCACATTGACCGCCTGTGCATCATTTGGAAAATTATATTCACAGCTGCTTACTGCTGCAGGTTTTTTTTTTGGCTGTTGAGCACGGCCCTTAACCCCATTGGTCCAGGGACTGTCTAACCTTGCTTTCTCAATTGCACTTTGCTTTGGGTAAAAGCATCTCCTAATGAAATACAATTACAATTAAAATATTATCTGAATGAAGCCTCCCTTTAACCCAAGTAACCCCCCCCCCCCGCCCCACTACAGATTTTTAAAAACCGACATTCATCCCTTCATCCTGACACCCAGCACCCTCATTATGACGTTCCCGCTATGTGCACAGTCAGTGTGCTGTTAATGGTTTATCACGCAGGGGTTGAAGGTGATCACCAGCTTCATCTTCTCATTTCTCGCCGGGTTTCGTGAGCTCTGACTGCTGGGTTTGCCTCCAGCAGTCGGTAGTGATTGTCTGTCAAAACGCTGTCATTGTCTTCGCCAAAGTTCCAGCATTGGGCAGTGCCCCGCCCATCCCCGTCCGTGTGGGGTTCTATGCAAAAGGCAGTAATGATTACAAGTGACTCCATCTGCTTTCTAATAAAGACTCCCCACGAAAAGGTCAGGCTAGTTTTAAAATTAAATTCCGACACGATCGCGGAATCTCCTGAAAGAGGATTATATTTATTAGATTAGCATCATCCGCTGAGCCGTGCGAGGACTGGAATCATTTTTGTGGTATTTATGTCGGCGTACTGCTTGTGTGTTGCTGGCACTGCTCGATATCCCTGGCCCATTTCGCACAGCTGCTTGGACCCTCATCTCGACTCTTCATCACGTAGCCGAGATGGCTGATCAGTGATTAGCGCGTCACTAATTAGCCCGATGGTGTTTGCCTTCCCTCACGTTTTGTGACACAGTTGTGGAGTCGCAAGTGAATAATGACGTATATTCTGGATTTTCTTCAGGGTGGCATTTGCAGTGACAGAAAAGTACAGATAAATGTCAGCATTTCCAGAATGGATTTTTTTTTCCGGGTCTAATTTTATCCAAGTAAGATATATACATATATACATACACAGTATATGCACACTAGTTCGTTCATTCTAGTGATGTGACAATAAAAGTGATTTGTTTTGATTTTGATTTGACTTTGAAATCGGCAATGTTATTTTCATTATTTAACCAAAACATTGTGCTACATTACATCTCAGCCCTCACTTCCCTAGGGGCAGCATTGTTGTTGACATTGTGTCCCTGTAGGACTGAGCCTGATGCATCACCAATTTCAGTGGCCACCAAGAAATCTTCAAGCTACCACAAGGGGGAGCAATTCTGAAGAGTTTCTCTGGTCTCTGGTGCATTGTCTTTACTGACTCTGACTTTTTTATTGATGGCAGTAGAGAGTGGAAGGGATACCCAATTAGTTTTGCTCAGTGGTCACCAGTAGGTACTTGGGTTGCTCAATACCACATCCAGTTGTTGCTGATGACATATTTTAAATGATGGGCAATATTTTCCATGATGGCTAATAGGATTGTTGATACTCAGACTTAATTATATTCAGCAATGGCTAGGAAGGGGCTAGAAGCAGCTTGCTCTGATTGGCTTGCCCTCCAATGGGCCTTGCTGTTCACCATCCAATTGGCTGACAGTGGTTGCATTGTGGCGGTGTCCCAGTCCCTGCCCCAATCACTGCGAAATTGTTTGGGGTCTATGGCTCATATTCACGCCTTCACCATATGAGACATGTCCCCTCTACCCCCCTGCTCTGCACTGCCACCTTCTGAAGGGTGAATCTATTCCCCTCCACAGCGCATCCGTTTGTATGTTTATTGACAGGTAAAGAATATCTGGAAAGGAATCGAGGCTCAGTCATAACTTCGCTAATAGCTACATAATCCCTCTTGTGGAAGTCGGACCCTCAAGGTCACAGCCTCAGAGTAATACAGCCAGATACGGCTGAAAGATGGGGAACTCTTAATGTCACCCGCAGAGCTGTCACAAGCCACGGAGCATGGAAAGGTGCAAGCAGTGCAGGTCCAGTTCGGGTCTGCTCCAGGCTGTCGCTGGGAAATAAACAGGCAGTGCGACAGCTAAGCTAACAAGCAGACCCCGCAGGACTGAAGCCTCTCCTGGCTCTGACATGTGAAAAGGCGACTGTCAGGATTGCACACAGACCAGTGTATTCCTCACGTTCTGCGAAGGACGCAGAGGCCAGAAGAGCGAGCCTTAGTCCGGTTCCTTATCCATTACAGCTTTTTACTGAACTCTACATAAGCCTCTCCTTAAAGCTTTAATAAATATCGACTGGATGTCGATTTGCCCATAGCAAATTCTGGATTTCCGGTCGTGAACAGAATCCCAATAGGAAGCCGTATTTTTGACACCTGTGGGTAAAAATGTTCTTAATCTACTGAGCAAGAGGAGGGCCGGATATATGTTTTGTGATCTCTGTGGCCCAAAAATAAAAGTGAGCTCTATTTATGAGGGCTTCCTATGATCTTTGGCTTGGGGGGGGGGGGGGNGGGGGGGGGGGGTGTTTTTCCCCCATAATCATTTCCAACCCATCTCAGAGAATACAAAAAAGATATTTAAAAACAGTGGGTCGCAGATGAGGCAGACTCCGTCAGTGCTGAGCGCTCGGCGCCTTCAAGGAGGCTGTCTCTGCCTCCGCCTCTCTTTCTTTTCTCCTCCTCCTCCTTCCATTTCTTGCTGTCCTCGCTTACAGAGTGGCCCAAGAGTGATCAGATGCGCAGTATTTTGAGGGTTTCTGATAGCTGTAAATTTTGAGAATGAAAAGAGGATGAGAGTGAGGAGGAGAAAGAATAAATTAAGCCTGATTTTTTGTTATAATTACCTATTTTGTCGATCGGCAAAGAGGTCTCTCTTTAGCTTTATTTATGACTTTCATAAACCGGTCAAAATCTCTCCCACGTTATCTGCGGCATCCTTTCCCTTTCCATTCCCCTCTCTCTCGCTGTCTCTCTCTCTCACTGCCCCACAACCTTCCCCTGAGCTTTATGCAACTGCTTGGAATCAATTATTCATCGACATGCATAATGTTGGCTACTGTCCTGCTGTAGGAGTGGGAGGCCAGTGGGTCTGCCTCGGCTCCAAGCCCTCGCGGCAGGTGGCGGGAACCTCGTTACAAGCCGAAGGTGGGACAGCTGGTTGATTGATGACGTCAGAGGTTTCTTTGGTCTACCCCGACTGCCCCCACGTGTGGCTGTCATGCTCTGTGGGCGCGACGAGGCCAAGGCAGTGGAAAATGAGCTCTTGGGGATTCCTCGTTCGAGGGAGAATTTGTCGAGGCACTCCTTGGTTCCATTTGCTGTCACAGCGAGTTGATGGTCTGGCAGCTTTCGCTTGCTTCATCACGGGACGCCCGTTCATTCCACCTGGTCGTGTCACTGTACCCCATGATCACAGCACAGTGGGAGAAGATCCTCTCATAATACAGTGTCACTCTGTGTTTACTCCAGGAATCCTCATTATCATAACATAGTTAATGTAAATGATAACAAACTCATCGCCAGCTGCACAGGACCTGGACCTGAAACCAGCCCATATACCTGGAATCTAACTTCCCTTTACAAAAAGTGCAGTTTCATCTTGACATGCAACTAAAGTTATGCTTCTTTTTTGCAGGTTACTGGTTATATTGTACTCTGTTATCAATTATTTATGTCTGTATTTTGTCAGCTGTTGCTACTTCAGGATGCTCTGGCTCACATTAACAACACCAACACCCTGATGAAACACAACAATAGTGTGATGCAATGTGCCAGTAACTGCTACATCTTCCTTTAAAGTTTGTTGTAGATACAAAAATAAGCCTCTAGACAAGACTTGCTAGAACTGTGGACATATGGTGATCTGCATTTGTGGGTCAGCATCTCACTGTCGTGCTTTCGCTAGTACCCACAATGCATTGCGACAGGCACGATCCATCTGGTTGACACCTTAAGCGGGGGGAGATACATCGACAAGAGATGTGTCAATCATGGTATATTCCGAATTCCGATTAATGGAGGGGCTGATGGTCCGTTTCGGTTCTGCTCCTGCTGTAGCCATGCATTCTCCATTCACCATGAACTCTTCTCCCATTCTCTCCTGCCAGTTCTGTCTGACACAAAGCCATGACACCCACGTCTCACCAAAGGCATCAAGGGACACTAAAGTCCGGGTCCGTGAAGGGGCCAGGGCGGTGTGCACAAGGGAGGTGGGGCGAGCAGCACAGGGGAGGGGCTAGGAGGCATAGCCACTCCTACCTCATTCCCTTTGGCTGGTGGTCCCCGACACAGAGGTGGCCACGCCTGCCTTCCCTGTTCCACTGTGGCTCGTACCAATGTGCCGGACAGCAGGGGGTGGAATGCGGCTGAGTCCCACCCCCGCCTGGCCTCCCCCCCATCCTGTGGTTCTGTGGTATTCTTTCAGTGCATGGGCTGTGGGAGGAGTGGTCTCCGTGGAGCCTGTGTTCAGCCACGTGTGGGAGGGGCTCTCGGACCCGGACCCGAAGCTGCGTGGCCCCCCAGCAAGGCGGCAAAGCCTGCGATGGTTCAGACCACCAGTCCAAACTCTGCAATATTGCGGTTTGCCCCGGTTAGTACCATCCCCCGCTCCCATCCTTTCTCTAATCCTCTATGTTTTGCTCACGATCCCTTCGTCTTCGTTTGTCATTCGTTTAAAGGTCCCTTCGTTAGTTCTGCCTGCATTTCTCGCTCGAGGTCAGCCTCCACTTTCTGTTAGGTTCTCTTTATTTTTTTGGAGAGGATTTTCTACCAATCTGTACAGGCAACAGGAGAAACAGATGAAAAGATTATAGCCCAACATAATCATTAGATCCGGACGCTGGTGGGTAATGCAGTGTGCGCTTTCTCTATCTTGGTCTGGATGTTTCAGCGCATTGGCTTGGTTATTGAGTTTAGCTATTGCCTTGCCGGCAGCCTTTTCAGAAATCATTACACCCGTATAATAAATCATCAGGGGGCTGCATTCCTGTCTTGTGTCAGTTAAAACTTTCCTTCGCTGGAAAACCCTTATTTGGTCACCGCTCTGCTGTGAAGGTGACTGACATTTGCTATGATTTGATTTCATGTGATGATTTTTTGCATTACGTGGCAGTTATTACCCATCAATTAACAGTGGCAGCAGTCCTGTGTGCCGTAACCGTATTTAGAAACACCCTCTGGATCGTGCTTCGGTAATATATGCAAAGATCCAGGCGGAAATCGATCGGAAGAGGTGTCTGACCCACTGAAGATTTGCAATTGGCTCCCCGCTTCCCCTTCAGAAGCTGACACAGGCAAGGGGAAGCATGTGTGAGCTACATGGGCAGCTGCAGTTAGAGATGTATGAGGTCTCATCAAACCTTCATCTCGGAAGCATGTTCTCCTCCTATGGTCAAAACAAACAAAAAAAAAGCACAAAGATATTTTTTAATTATATGATGACTTTTTCTATGATGGGCTGGTCCCCCATCCTGGTTGAAGGTTAGGCTGCAGACCACATGTATAGAGCAAGCGGTAAAGAAGATGAATGAATGATGACGTTTTTCTTGATCAGCGGTTACCCATGCTTTGTTCAGATGACCATGGGTAACCTCATATACAAAAACCTATGAGGTATGTTTCCAGTTAAATCTCAGATTCATTCAATGCACTGTTGTTCATGGGACTGGTCGATCTGCTGAATAATGAATTCTGCAGTGCGGGGGGTTCTGATCCCACCTCTGTGCTCTCTATCTCTCTCTCTCTTTCACACACACACACACACACATTTTATCTCTCTCTCACACACACTCTATCTCTCTCTTTCACATACGCACACACACACTCTCACACACACAAACACACTCTATCTCTCTCTCACACGCACACATACATTCTATCTCTTTCACACACACACACTATATCTGTCTCTCTCACACACACTCTCACACACACTCTCTTTCATGCACACACACTATATCTCTCTCTCACACACACACTCTCTCACACACACTCTCTCTTTCACACACACACTCTCTCTCTCTTTCACACACGCACACTCACTCTATCTCTCTCTCTTTCACACACACACTATATCTCTTTCTCACACACACTCTCTTTCACGCACACACACTATATCTCTCTCTCACACACACTCTCTCTCTCTTTCACACATACGCACACACACACTCTCACACACACAAACACACTATATCTCTCTCTCTCACACACACTCTCTCTCTCTTTCACACACGCACACACACTCTATCTCTCTCACACACACACACACACACACTCTCTTTCACAAACACACACTCTATCTCTCTCTCTCTCTCTCACACACACACTCTCTCCCCCTGTACGTGGAGTTTGCATGTTCTCTCTATGTTTCATGAGTTTCCTCCTGCCTTCGAGAGACATGCATCTAATCAGTGTCTCTGAAACGCCTGAAACATACAGTATGACTGTGGCAGCTGTTTCCAACATCTGACAACTTCAAACTTCTGATCTCCACGCCTTCATCTGTGTATATATACATATAGCAGTTTGTTCCCGTTTATCTCCCTTTATAACTCAGCTGATGCTTCACATATATTTATTTTGTGCTGCCTTTATATCTTAGGACCCTCAAATAATTCATGAAGAGTCTTTGGTGACTCATCACTTGATTCTCAGTAATAATTAATATTTTGAATTAAAGCAACATTTAAAAATGTATTTAATAATTAAACATACTTCTGTCACTGCTCTCAGGGAAAGAAGTTGGAGTCTGCCATTTTCTCCTAATGAGGTACGAACTGCAGAAAGGGAACATCCAGAAACGCGGGTAATGGTGTGATTTCTCAGAGTGAAGCCTGCAGTCTGGGGCTCCATCCATGTTGTGTTCAGGACTCTTCAATTACCATTACTAGTTTAACTGGTTATTTAGCTGCACTTTCAAATTTCATTATTTGAACAGTTAGTGAATTCTTATTAATTGAAATCATCAGTTAAACGCTTAATGAACGGAAAATCGGTTCATTTAACAAGTAAGCGGTGTATGTTGTTATAGCATTTAAGCACGATTGGGTTCTGAAACCGCACTAGTGTATAGCAGCTTGGGCCCTCATGGCTGCAGTGTCTTTAAATATCTTTAAATAGTCGTCTTCTGTGATAAAAAAAAAATAAAAAATCTGGCCTCGATGTTAGATTCGATGGCATCGAGCGGTTAGCAGAACACCCTGAAGATGTGCGTCATGGTGGGAGGGTGTCCAATGCCGACTCTGTCCAAGGTGTCACGCTCAAGAAAGGGCTTGAAGGATTGGAAGAGGATACTCTGAGCGCATAACAAAAGGATGTGGAGGAGTAGGCCACTACTATAGCTGACAGGCAAATCAATAGGACGCCTACTGTAGGGGTCCTGTCTGGCCCAAGTCTCAAGCCGCTTTGTGATTAGATAAAGAGTTATTCAAGTGTCTGTTCCCAATGGTCTGCTGTGTCCAATAGGGCTATAGCTAAATACTTGCTTACAGGGAATGGGCACTTTGGTCTCTTAGTGTCAGAACAAGCCACAGAACATGGAAATATGGAACTGAATCCCAAATTAAATGAAGGATGTAGAATGAGGGGATTTTCTCCAGCATAGCTGGCCCACAGCCATTGTTCTATAGCAGTCTAACAGTTCTGTGCTTATATGTGATTGGCTTTTTGGTTGCCAGCACAGCCACTTAATTAGCAATGTAACACGCGTTGACGTGTAATTGCCTGTCGCAGAACACCGTGCAAGGTTAGTCCCTAGGAATGACTTCAGGAAACAGAATAGTGAGTAAAGAGATGGTTGAAACCAAAATAGCACTCTTGCCCGTTCTAAAGTGCCACGCCTGTCATTAAACGGCTAGCTACTGAATGCTGCAAATAACAATGACAAGAACGGAAGGTTTTCTCAAAAGGACACACTATAGGATTGTTGGGAAAGTCTCGAAGTGTCAACACTTATTTTTAGAGCCGCTTATTTTATTAAAGAAATTAATGTCAATATGAAGTCCTCCCAGCGGCAGAAATGCCGAGGTACGTGTGACATTGTGCTTCGCCTTGTTTCTGGCCTGGCTTTGGGGTTTCTCAGGTGAACGGCAATGTGCCAGTTCATTGTCCAGCTAGGCTGAGGGGCTCTGTTTCCTATGCTAGCTGCTAACTTTTAGCATAGCTATCTCTGTGTGGCACATGCTAAACAGCCAGTGTATGTCTGATTGTGTGGCTCATAGGATTTAACTTTCTTTCATTTGGGTTAATTGGGGTTTCCCCACAGATGTCCCTTTATCTAAATACTGAATGTCTTTGATTATTTTTGTTTAAGTGGTTAATGCTTTGGCCAGCTCAGGACGTTGACGTAATTGGTCTGATTTACATAGCGCTCGTCTTCATTGTTCTTGGGCCTAGCTGCCAAGACACATGACCTCAATCCTGCAGGGGGTCACGAGCGTCTGCTAGCTTTGATTCCGCACACACAGAACCATGGAGAACCTGTCAACCAATCAGTCTCCCCACGTGCTATGATCAGCCTGGAATGCAAATCTGGATTTTTTTAATTATCTGTCTTGCATGCATAAATTCACCTATTAAAACAATTTATATTTAATGAGCCATAATACCAGGTGCTAGCAAGCAGCTACATTTAAAGAAAACAAAACACAACCGTTCAGTACAGCAGGGCAGTTAGTTCATGTTCAGGCAGCCATTGAAGTTGTTTTTCAGTCATGTATGTGTAAAAATGAATCTGCCCCCAAAACGATAAAGCAGAAGCAGTGTCTGCATAGTACGCTTTCTAAAAATATTTCTTTGTTGCCATAGAGATTACAAGGAGAAAAAAATCTCAGCGGATGTATATTCATTATCTAATGGAAGTGATTTAAATAGTATATTCTCGTATTTTTATGCTTTTGAATCCCATCCTGCTGTTTAGGCCTCGTGTACATTTGCTGCATCACGATAGTTGAGTGGGTTCCGCGACTTGTCTGCTGAAGAGGTGTGGATTGCCATTATTTATGTGGTCATCCGATGTTTCAGCACAGGCACAATTGACCGATTTGTTTAATGACATATTTACAGAAAGTCCATGTCGTATTTTATCTCAAGGGTACTACAGCGGGGGGCCCTTCCATTAAACCTGCAGCCTTCACGTTGCGAGTTTGATCTTTTTTTTTTCTGCATCTCACTTCTCAAATAGAGCAAGCCTTGGCGCGGGGAATGTATGGCAATGCTAAGTGGCTACAGAGGGCCCGCGAGGCGAGGTAGGGCGGAGTTTCCGGGGGTGTCTATGTGACGAGAGCTCTATAGGCCACTGACAGCCGTCTCCTTCTCAAGCAATTAGGGGCTTGTAACCTCAAAGTCTTTCCAGCGCCTTGTCTCCTGCACAGGTACAACCTGCTCATCCCGGCTGATGGCTAATGACCACAAAGTACATGAATCAGACCTTAAGAGCCCAGCTGAGAGTTTTTTTTATTCAGGAGCCCACAGGCAGGGCTCAGTGAGTCATTTCCTAGGGTGATGCTCTCATCTTCCCAAGTGATGCCTAGATCAGACAGTTAAGATACATATATCAAGTTCATCATGTGCTGGCTTCCAGTGTCGACAAACACCAGTGGTCGCTGGTTGTTATTTTTTTTAGACATTTCTGGGCCTACAGAGCCTCAGAACTTCTGTAGCAGTTTTTGTGAGGGATGGTGTGTGGCTCAGTGAGGTAGGCCTATTTGACCATCGTCGGAAGGTTGTCAGTTTGAATCCCGTCCTCGGTAGAATATTCACATGTCTGTTGGGCCCTTGAGCAAGGCCCTTAACCCCCCTGAAATGCTGTAGGTGCATCAGATAAACAGCAGACTCTGTGCTCAGACCCTGAGCTTCACTCTCACGTGTGTGTGTGTGTGTGTGTGTGTGTGTCTGTCTGTCTAAAAGGAGAGCATGATGGGATATATGAAAAGAAGCATCCCAATGTACCTGTATCATAAATTGCCAATAAAGCAACATTTCGTTTCACATGGTTATATGACCAAATATCAGCTAAAGACAGAATCCTAATGTACTGTATGGCTGCAGCTCAGCTGGGCAAGGCTGCAGTGTTATACTGTGTTATTGGTGCTGTATGCCACTGCACCAGTTAAAAGGAGAATTAAATTCCCAGTGCCGTGCTAAACAGTTTAATAGTCTCTCCCACCCGGACTCTTTTGTCTCACCTCATTTTACATTTAAGGAATTAGGTCCTACAAGAAGAGGCACGTTTTGTAAACAGATCATTAGAAATCTCCTGCAATGAATTATTAATTTGGATATATGCCACAGGATCAAATGCATTACTGTTAGATTAATTATAAGAGGAGACGCAAAGCAGTTTTAAACAAAGAACGGTGAATATCTCTTTGATTATAACCGACATGCAGGCAGTTTCATGGTGAGGAATATTTTTGTTTGATCTCCAGGGTCTCTCTCTGCTGTCCAGAAGTGCTGGTTTCATGAGGGTTGATCTGCACGAAAATATATGCACCCCCCCCCCACACACACACACACACATACAATGCTTTCACAAGTCAGTACCCCAAGCACCAATACTTCTCTCCAACTGACGAGAAGCAGGCAATTGCCTGGTAGCTCTCGCTAATAGGCCTGGCTATCTGTTTGATTTACTTTAATGATGTAATTCTATTTCATAAATGTCACCGGCCCAATGTGACTAGGCACTGTTCATGTAGCTCTCTGGAGAAATCCGAGGAGCCGCCATTGCAGATACCAAAAATATATTTCTGCCAGTCTGACTGCTTAGTCTACTGGAAGGCCTGTGTTCCGAGTGAAATGTCACTGGAGATTTGCTAGGGAGTGCTTTAGTGAGTAACTCATTTAGCTTGTGTAAAGTTCAGGAATCAGCAAGTAAACAACCTGAAAGTCGTCGTATTTGCGTCGTCTGTATCAACCGTTCGATAATTAACAAAGATCGCATTTACAGATGAGGGAGGAAACAAATTAATATGGCGAGTTCTGCTCAGCTCTGTTCCTGTTGATCCCTTAAGCTATGGAACCTAAGCCTGCCCAGGCTGAACTGCTGCCTTGTTAGGGTAAAGCAGGGTCAGTCGTGTGTACCTGGGAGATTTCTGAGAATACGGAACACAGGTTTCCTTGTGATTTCTTTGACGTGTTTGTACGTGCTTTGGGGTTTGGGGAATTGGGATTTTATTACATTACATGTTTAGTTCTGTCTGTCTTAAAGTAAACAGCTTTGTTTGTTTTCAAACCTTCTATCCGCCTTTGTTCCACCCCTGTGGCAGACCACCCCATCAACCTGTCGCAGTCTACGTGATGTGATTGAATATTGGCTCATTGGTTGGTTTAAAATTTCTGTAATTTTCTAACATGTTTTGAGTGGCTTGTATATATCAGGCTGCAATTTCACAGGCATCAGAACAAACCAAATTGCCTGTTCTATGTAAGTATGCAAGTCTCTGCTTTTAGGACAAATCATTTGTGATTGAATAAAACAGGAGAATATGAATGGGAGGGGCCACAGACACACTGGCCTCAGCTGAAAGCTGATTGGTCCCAGGAGCGCCCTCTCCCCGTCACTCACCAATTCCAGAATTTCCTTTGGCTAATGATAAGGCCGTATTATGAGCATCTAGAACCCTCTGCTGTTGCTTTTTTGTTTTTGTGGTTATGTGAGTCTCAGTTTTATGGTCTTATGTATATATAACTGTACATGGGTCTTGGTGACGCAGCACTAGATCGATTTATGCGAATGTGAACTTTACAGTCCCGGTTCTGTGTATATGTAAGTGGGTCTCTGGATATTTTGTATCGGTTCTGTGCGCCTATGTGCTGACTTCAGCTCTATACTGTCATTTATTAAAATATGACTCACTGCGGCGAGAAAAGGGGCCACACTGGAAGGAGCACCCAGCCCGCCACTGGGACTATTAACATTGACAGATTATTAGAGAATTATTATTTAACTGTGTGTGGGGCCCCAAAGGAGGCAGGGGCTCCGTCAGGAGAATGAGCCTCCCTATCAGCCGCCGGAGGAGCCCACTCGGGCCCCGGCGATGGAGAGGGAGGCCTGGGCTCCTCATCAAACAGCTGTGATGGCGTGATTGCTGGGCAGCCCCATGTTACCGCACACTCACCTTTCCTCTCCTCATTCTCTTCACCTCCATCTCCTTCCCCTTCTCCCCTCCTCTCTTCCTGCCACTTCTCTTTTCTTTCTGTTCCCTTTTCCCTCCTTTTTCCCTACCCCCCCCCCACCTGCTGCCTCCATCGTCCCCTTCCTCCTTTATGTTTCGTCTTATTTTGTTTATACTCTCTCTCTGTTCTCTCTCATGATCCTCCCCCTTCTCGCCATCCTTCCATCCTGTTCTCCCCCTCCCAGTGGAGGGCCAGTGGTTGGACTGGAGCCCCTGGTCCCGCTGCAGCGTGACCTGTGACACGGGGACCCAGCAGCGGCAACGGAGGTGCAGCGTGTCGGTGCACAGCTGGGCTGAATGCAAGGGGGCGCATTCTGAGACCCACGAGTGCATCAACCCGGAATGCGGCAGTGAGTCGTGTGCTTCTACCGCCCCACACCTGTGTCACTCCTGTACCACACCCTCCCCACACCTGTGTCACTCCTGCACCACACCTGTGTCACTCCTGCACCACACCCTCCCCACACCTGTGTCACTCCTGCACCACACCCACCCCACACCTGTGTCACTCCTGCACCACACCTGTGTCACTCCTGTACCACACCCTCCCCACAC